TCTCTATAGTTTCAAGGAGGCCTACTGATAAGTATCTCATGACTTCCTATTAGGCCTATTGAATTTATAGGCAATTTTTTCTAACGGCCACAATTGGCACCGGAACCGGTCGATGGTTATGAGGAAAACATCGGCCATCGGCCCACCGGCCTAATGCGGCCACCGGTACTTTAAACTGATCTCGTTTCATAATGGGCGTTTATTGGAATAAGATTATCTCCGTCAAACGTATTACCATAGAGGACCATTGTGTGGGCTTTTCTCGTGAGTCAGTAAATTTGGTCAAGAACTGGAAACGAGTAAAGCAGAAGAAAAGGGTGGAAGAATGCTGTCCTCTAGAAGACTGGTGATCCTGGGATTCTTCGCTATTGCAGGAAAGCCGGAGAATGTGCAGTTCCAACCTAGGGGTAAAACTGCCAGTGATGGACCGGTTCCCAGCGATGGGCCACAGCAAGTGAAAATTCTTACAGCAAAGCTTCGATGGCACTCCTACCCCTGTTATGACGTAGGCTAGCGGCATGCAAGCACCCACACACCTCAGAGGTGTTCATGTTACAAATTCCTAGTTTTTAGGTTTTTCCTGCGCCGTGGCCCATCACACGCCCTTAACATCATTGGGAGTTTTACCCTACCCCAGCTTCTCCCTGGCCTAACCTGCTCCCCAGATAACACACTGACGTTGTGACAGCGTTGTATAAAAACAATAATGTTAAGAGAATGGAGCATGCTGTCACCCTGATGTTTTGACAATGTTGGTATGATGTCTTCGCCACGACAATAGACAAATTACTAAATGTCGCAGAAAAAAAAAACATGATTATAAATTCACAAGAAATTTTTTCATGCAACATTTTCCTAAAACGTTGTGACAACGAATTCTTTCGGGCGTTAACAACGTTTTGACAATGTTTGCGAAGTAATACCCTCACCATCTAATGGTTCATCCAATCGACGCCAGATGGCATCTCAACGACGCTCTAGCGAATCTCCCTTTCTTGTACTGGAAATGAGTTCCCTATGTTTTTATTTCGGTACCTGATCTTTCCCCGCGTAAAACTTTGGGAAAAGTATTGAAATTCCTGGATAGACTTGTTTAGGCGAGTTACACGGCGGAAGGTGACCCCAGGTACTTCTTGCTACTCAGGTCGAAGGAAACATGGCAAAATGTTCAAATTCATTCCATGACCAAAATAACTTTCAAACTGATTTATCTAGAGAAGGTAAAGGAGTAAAAATCATACAGACATCTTTCGATATCTCTGAGGGAAAAGTGAGCTTATCAGGAGGTGATTAACCCTTTCAATGACGCCTGGAGTAAATACTAGTCATGCGGTTGCGCACTTGCCAACATTAGCACGGCAGGCGGCTGCAAGGATTAATGTAGGGGTGTGTGTGAGTATTATTATTAACAATCCATTTTGCCACAATAATCACTTCTCACTTAGTGCCTTCACAATGTTGTTATGCCAGAAGGAAAATGTTTTCACGACGTTGTGAGATAATTTTGTAACTATATAAAATAAAAGGAAATTTAGATGTTGAAACAACGTTGTCTACAACTTCGTCACAACATCTTATACGTTGTGGTACAGCATTTCCACAACGTTGTCACATGTGTGTTACTTGGGTCCTTCCACTCCGATGAAATTAGAATCCTGCAAAGCTAGTTTTTCAGTCTCATTCGCCTGTTTTATCAGCACCACGGCCCGCGTGGGTCTCTTATTCCTTCAGGGGTCTATTCCACAAAAGATTTACAAGTTACAAGTAGTTGCAAGGGTCGTGTCTTCTTTTTCAACTCTTCTAGCGGGTCGTGCTGACACTTGATGCGATCAAGGAATGACCCTTGCAACTACTTGTAACTTGTAGCTTGTAACTTGTAAATCTTCTGTGGAATAGGCCCCAGGTCTTTCTCTTCCTAAACGTTTCTTCTCTCCTGCCCCCTGGTAGTGATTTATGCAATGGGGACGGTGGCTGGTATCACGTTTCCCTAACCAGTCTGTGGGCATGACTGTTAATATTTTTTAATATTACATAAATATACTAGTAGTTAGATCACAAATTATACATGGTCTTTCAAAAGTCACGCATCCCATCATTTTTTTAAGGAACTTAAATAGAGTTGAAATGATCCAAACTGGCTTAATATTGAAGGAACAAACCTTACCCATGAAAAAAGTGTAATAGCAATTATTGCTGTATATATTGTGTTCCTGTATATATTGTTATTTGTTATGTTATTGTGTATAACAATATAGGTCTGAATGTAATAGGGGAATTTTTAATGCTAGAATATATATTTTCCATCATAGTACCGATGAATAAGTAAAGTGTATTGTGAAAGTGGTGATGAAGTCACATTTTTACCGTATTATAGGTTTCGCAAACGAAAATGATAGAAACGGGATACATCATTGCTGACTTATTAGAACTTACTTTTTCTTCAAGCAGTGACGAAAAGAGGCGTGAAATTCTCGAGAACGGAAGGCCCACGCCAGATCTTAAAATTTTGCAAAAAGACAGGGCGAAAACTCGGGTTTTCAGGAAGGTCTTCTCCGCAAAGTCGAAAATTTGAGAAAAGGGAGGTGTAGAGGGTACAAGATTCAGTGACAGTTGGTCCGGAACCGAACCGATGGTTGAGGGAATTAAAATTCTTCGTTTATGCCAATCGGGAAACTAACGTCTAAAAAATGTATAGGAGCATTACTGGCACCTTAATTAAACTTGCAATTAATATTTAAGAAGCAATTCAGAGCAATGATAGTTCCAAGAAATTAGGGAATAAACATATCCCTCTCCAGAAGCTCACGACTCGACGAACGAAAGGTTGCAATTAGAAGTGATGGTGAAGGAGAAAAAACAGGCAACTAAGCCCAACACGTTGAAGTGCCAGAGCGACATTGTCAGGACTGCTCTCCCGGCCACATTTTAATGAACGACTCCCTCAGCTCAGATTCGACTTGTCTCGAGAAGACTAGATTCCCCTAGAGTGAGGGTAGGGAGATAAACACTTAAAAACCAAAAGTTTTGTTTCCCTAGAAACTTCTGAATGGGAACAATGGTTCACCAAAGTTCTTGCAGAACTGCAAAAGCCCCAGAGGTGCAGCTGTCAATCTTGTTTCCTTGTCACCCATCACTCGAGAACCAAACCTCAAGGTACTTGAACTTCTCTACCTGTTCCAGTGGGACCCCACTGACATGCAGGGTGCACTGTATGGGATTTCTTGGGAGGGCTATGACCTGTGTCTTGCAGACACTTAGTTTCATTCTGGCCACGGTGCATTCAGAGTCTAACTGATCAAGCCTGCTCTCCTGAGCTCCTGCTGAGAATGGGTCAATAAGATGGCATCATTGACAAAGAGAAGTATCCTTACCATGATGCCATCAATATTGATCCCCTTCAGGCCAAGGCTGTGCCTACACATCCTGTCCATGTACACAAGGAACAGGAAAAGAGAGAGGACACAACCCTGCCAGAGTCTAGCATGTTCCAGAAAACAACCTTAACTCCTCCCGCTCACTTGAACGCAGTTCCTGCATTCACTGTATAGGGACCGAATGGGCTGCAGTAGCTGATTTATGCTTCTTTGAGGTCTACAGTGCACATGGAAACAACTTTGGCATACTCTCAATTTCTCTCCATGATCTGGTGGAGAGTGAACAGCTGGTCCATGGTGCTGTGCCCTTCATGAAAGCTCCACTGCTCCTCTTGGATGGCTCCACCCACAACATCCTAAGTAGAATCAACATCCGAATCCATGTGACTGGAATGCTGCCTGGACTGGAACTGAAGTGCTCCCCAAATTTGACATTGTATAACAATCAGTTATATAACCTAATTTCCAGAACCATACCTTACCAGAAAAGCAAGAAATGCTCATGAATGAACTTGAACATAAGCATGAGTGCACATATCTGCCTTCCTTGCAATCTGGCCACCAGGTGACTAACCCACAACATTAAGCAATGACATCTACCCAAGTTTTCCATTTTGTTGTGGTAGGTCTTCAGATATTCCTGCCACATTAGTCTTGGCTCCTTTTGACATGTAATTCTTGCTGTTCGACTTGCTATGCTTTGTTCTCAGGGCATTTGAGGACAAAATGGACTGTGGTAACCAATCTACTGCTAATGCATGAAAGTGACACCTGGTACTTTCAGGCCCCCAAATTCATAACCAAGAATTTCAGCCTTGCATCACAAAAATACCAAGTGAATAAGTTATGACCTATTCACTAGTACTTGGCAGCTTGTGCTCCATCTCAGTATTTGATTCCATAGTTTTATCTTCATCTCTGCAGTAGTCCTCAACAAAAACAGAAATGGATTCATGAGTGATGGAGTCTTATGATCTCCTAAACTGTGTCGTATGAAAATAATGAGTTCAGGATATCACAAAGTACTCCGTATTGTAGAGATCACCTAGGTAAAATGAACTTGACATCAACTGCTTTTGGATCATTTCTTCTGTACCACTTCTAGGAGCAGAAGAAATGGATGAGAACAAATGCTTTTTGTGCACACACATTTTTATGGTAATCAGTTCACACCAGGATCTTGGATAAGTTACCCTGGCTGGTGCCTTGAACACTGGTGGAAACATGACAGCCTTATCACTTTTTGCTTTTATTATCTACATACCTTATGGAATGCCATGATTGTATCCCCTGCTGCCACCTTTCACTCCTTGAAAAAGTAGACCAAAACCTATACACTGCTCTTTCAGGGGATGTTGTTTCTTTTAGGCTAGAAGCTTCTGGCATGGGACGGAATGTATCATGTCCTGTAACAAACTTCATCAGGTGGAATTGATGATGGCATGTTCTGCCTTGATTGGGTACTACTACTAATCTAAAAAATGCAAATTTCAATTTAAATTCCCCTCTTCATGTTTCAACTAAACATAAAAACTTTGTAAGATGATAATTAACAAGAATTAGGCAATTACCAACTGATATGATTAGGTTTTAGGACCTAATTCAGAGGTATTGAATGTGTTTTTGTTAGCCGTCAGAAGGGAAGCATTGGAGGAGTGCTGGAAATTGGTGAAACGGATTATCCCTGAATCAGGACAAGATGTATTCAGACGAAATGTGAAGCTGTTCTTCCATCAACCATCCTCTCATAGCATCATCAGCTCAGCTCTACAGACTATCTCAGGTCATCTATTCCCTCATACAGAATTATTCATGGATTTAGATTATTAGGTATGCCCTACCACACATTGAGAGATTCTGTCCATTTCCAATTTAAAAATGTATAATGTAGAATTGATTATGCCAGAATCACTGATGGTCAGCATGTCCATTTGAAGTTACGAGGGTCACTCAATAAGTTATCTACCTGAATAAGAAAGAAACATCCGAGGGGAAAAATAACACTTTATTTTTCAATGTAGTCACCTTTTAACTCAACACACTTATTCCACTTTGATTCCAAGGATTTTATTCCCTGGGAATATAAGTCAACTTCTTGTCCATCAAACCAATCAGAAACGGCAACTTTCACCTCTTCATTGCATGAAAATCTTTTTCCCCGCAAAAATTTTTTCAAGTGTCTGAACAGAAAATAGTCACGAGGAGCCAGATCCGGGCTGTAGGGAGGATGGTTGAGCTCCTGAAAGCCACACTCCCTCACTGCTGCCTGAACTTTCCATGATTTGTGGATGGGCATGTTGTCATGGAGAAGAAGGACCCCTTGACAACTTTCCTCTGCGTTTTTCCTTGATGGCATCGTGTAAATTTTTCATGGTGGTAGCATAGGAATCGCCAGTGATTGTACACTCGTCTGGCATGAACTCAAGCAGCAGTAGTCCCTCGCTGTCCCAAAACACAGTGGCCATAATCTTTCCTGCAGATTTCTGAACACGAAATTTGCGAGGCATTGGCGATCCCTTGTGCTTCCACTGCATGGACTCCTGCTTGGTTTCGGGATCCCAGTGATGAACCCAAGTTTCATCGCCAGTTACTATTCTGGGAAAAAAAGTTTCCCCGATTTGTTTAGAAAACTCCAAGTTTTCCTTGCAGATGTCAGATCTGTTCTTCTTCTGAGCTGGAGTCAGCNAACTTATGAGATTTTGGCGCGATTGCAAAACCCTCTCTTGAGGGTAAGAAGGCTTCAGCTAATTACCAAGGGAGATGGTGCAGCTGTCACAGCAGGCACAGGCCTATTGCTCATCCCTTTCATATTCAGGTAGATAACTTATTGAGTGGCCCTTGTATGTAAAAGTTATATAACTTATAAGCACATTTCAGTTTCATACAAGCATAAAATGATAAAATATTTTGAAATATATAAGAATGAAACAATATGAATTATCAAATGCCGTGGGAAGAAAGGGAGCTTCACACTGGCACCACCATTCCAAAAAAAGTTGAAAAGATTAATGAAAATGCAAGCAATTGAAAATCTAACACAGTGAAAAGTTAGAACAGCAAACTGTTCCCAAATTTGGTAAGAATATCCCCTGTCCTTCATGGCTGCCTCATCCTCCATCTTGTCTGTTCTTTCTCTGTTTGTTCTGCATGCTGTTTGTTTCCCTTCTCTTCTTCCAAAGGGGCATATTGCCAGAAAGCTGGATTTTTATTTTTTCTTTGTTCTAGTCCTGTTATTTTCTTTATATTTACTTATTTTCTCTACTACTTTGTTACCATGGTGCCTTAGTGGAACTAAGGATTAAGGTTTCTGGTATTTGCCACTTATTTTTAGCAAATTGTAATGAAGTGACTACATGTGGTAGCTGGACATGAAATATGCATGAGAATTGCACTATTGATTCAGGAAGGAAATACAGCATTGAAATCTAACAGGGAAAAAAAGAAAAAAAAAGTCCTTCTGAGAAATATGATGTAAAGAAGATCTGGAGTAAGCCTTGAGGTATTAGCAAGTTGCCTCAACATGAATGAGTTTGTTGAAGACCATTAGAGAGCTCAAGTTTTTTAAATTTGTTAGTCCAGTATTTTCTTGATGTGAAATGATAGGTCTGTTCTGGAATCTTTCGGATATATAATAATTGGGAGTTGGAATTGATGAGGTGGTGCAAAAAGTAGATATATCTACAGGGTGACCCAAAAGTCCTGGCTTACCTGTAGGTTAACATATGATGGGCTGAAAGGCAAAGTGCAAAAAAGTCGTTTTTCCAGGTTCGGAAAGGAAAAGTGGTCTATGTACATAGACCACTTCTCCTTTGTGAACTGGCTGCTCTAATTTTGGAAAGTAAAAGTGGTCTATGCACATGAAACCCTTCTTCTTCCTATGACTACAACACTTAAACGATGGAATATTCACATTTAAAAGTGGTCTTGCTGCTGTGCTGTAAGAATGCATAGAGATGGGCTTGGGGTACAATCTTTTTCTGGGTTGAACAGCTTGGAATGACCAAAAAGCTCATATGGCAACCATAAGGCTTCTGCTTAAATTTCTACCGCTTCCCTCTCAAACCCTTTACCTGAGAGTCTAAATATATTATCTCAAACTAGGGATTCTGCATCCAGAATGCCTTCTGGCTGGGAGGTGCTAAAAAAAACTTCTCTGAAAAGATAACGTTATTTCAAGTTCTATATATCTGCATACATTTTATAACCACTGGGAAATTTACTTGCTGCCATACCTGTCCTGTTTGTAAGAACCTGTTTTATGACCTATTTCAATTACGTGACTATGCATATTATTATTAGTAAAATCAAATTTTAAATATGTACGAAATACAGAAATGATAGATTTCACAGAAAAGTGAGCTGAGGAAACTTTCGCACTCATTATGGAATTCCTAAAAGCCATAAATGATTAATCTTGGTGCTGTTCAGTAGATTTTATTTTCTCAGTGAAATAGGAAAAAGGAGGACTACGCTTTGAAAGGCGTCGTGGTTGTCCAGAGCAGGAATGCTAAACAGCTCTGCTCATTCAGCCTTTACTAGTCAATCTATCCCTAAAAATAGTCTTCAGCAATTCTGGACATAAGCTAAGGAAAGAGCCAGAAGTCGTAGTTAGCCAAATCAGGAGAGTTGGGTGAGTGGTGAAGAGAGAACATGCCCTCTCGATTAGGCAGGACATCCTCGGCTTTTCCTTGTGAGGGTCAGTATTGCCATGGTAATGCAGCACCTGACATGTTCTTGTCTTTGGTCCCATTATCTCAAGTTCTCTGAAGACTTTTGCCAAAATTCTTTGATTACAGAATGCAGTTGATGATTCTAGACTTTTGGATGATTTAAACAATGAATATTGAGAATTGATGGTGGACATCTGACTTAGAAAACCAGATTTCAAAACTTGAGGTCGACGCTCATATTTTGAATGCCAGATCATGTTGGACTTTTATAGGACATATTTTTCACGGTGAAGAAGAATGTCCAAAATGTGTCTCCTGTGACTTTGGAGTGTCTCTTTAGGTCATCAGCTCTTGAACACTTTTCCATTTTTTTACTGTCGGGAGATGAGAGAATCTTCTTGCACATCTCCTGAACCTTTGACCTCTGAATGAAAAGACTGTGGGGTCTTCGCAACTGATGCAAAGCTCATGATATGAAATTCTCCAAGTAGTACTAGAATCATAGTAAATTATGGCATAACAGCCATCAATAGTTGCTTTGTTCACTGAAGTCTATGGATGTAAGGATGGAGCCTCATCATCACAGTTCCTTTCCTATGTAATTTCTTATATAGCTCCCAACGATATCAAAGGAGGAAATACCCTCTTGATAAATACTAATCAATTCCTGAGGGATTCCTTTGATTGGTGTCCAGGTTTTCAGTGAGGGAAGGGATAGAAGCGAGATCATCCCCTCATCTTTGAATTCCATTGAGAAACTGGCCAGTAGAAAAGGTGTATTAATGTACCCATCTGACGGAGCCTAGTTGGATGAAAAAAAAAGTATAAGTCATAAGTTGAAATGCTCTTGGAGAACCAATGTGGATGACAGAAAAAAGCCTGGCATCAGATGCTACCCAGCTTTATTTTTAGCTGCATACCTCTTTGATCACCTCTCGCAGATCAAAGTCTGCCTCATATGGAAAGACACACCTATTGAGGGGCTTAAAGAAAACAGGTTCATCTGCAAAAGTACCTCAAGGCAACAGGAAATTGAAAAATAACATGCAGGGCCACCTATTGGGTAATTTTGGGGGAATATGGTCCTAAAAAATGAAACCTGGTCTTAACAAACCATCAAGGTTGAATTTGACTTTCACAAAGTTTCCAAAATATAACTGTAGGTGTAAGAGGAATGATCAAACATAGATCAAAGTGAACATGCACTATGAGTATGAACTAAGAGAACTTACATTACTGGAAAAACATCTCATTTTTTTTGCATGTATGCATAAATAGAGCCAAAAATCACAGGATGATATTTTAACTTTTTTGTACGAGGACCTGCATTCAAATTTTGTGCCAAGAAAATTTCTGGAGTAAGTCAAGCGGATTTCAATGAGGCAGTGCATGTGGATATCCTCATGAACTGCATATCTCATGCAGATGTCCTGTATGTCTATCCAAATATCCAGAGAACGTGCATAGGATGCTATTTTGCTGCCTGAGATTCTACTTGAAAGGGAGCTGATACTGCCAATAGGTTAGTGCGGTGTTACCATGAAGTTAAGGATAAGTCCATATTACCCCAAATCAAGATGGCCATATTCCCCCATATTGACTTGCGAAACAAAGTTGACAACACTGCCTGCAAACTGCAAATGGAGGGACTAGCACTTTCCACAAGCATTCTGGAAGGAGCATATAACAACTCTGAAGAAATGGTTCCTGTATCCATGCTGCTGTTGGGAAATATACGTTTAAGTCATATTTATTTGCAATGGCATAATATGACTTTCAAAACATCAACGTATCCCGAATTCCTGTGAGAACCGGATTAAGGAACAGGTATAAACATTTCGACAATTGCATATACTCTTTGACATAACTACTTTTAAAATTCGCCCAAACTAATTCTTCAGTCTGTTAGGGGATTCATTTTGAAGGTCCATAGGTCCATATAACCCCAATGGCCATATTCCCCCAAGTTACCCCACCTTTCTCTTAAGAGAAGTACCCTGCAGGATTTCTGAGAAATGAAAAAGAATAGATTCATTACATGCAGCACATATACAGAGTTAGATCCCTAGAATCTTCACTTTCTCCTTCAGTAGCTTGCAATACTGTTTCTTGCAGATAGACCACTTTTCCTTTCAAGCTTTCAATTACTTTCTTCAATGAAAGGAAAAGGGTTCTATGTACATAGACCACTTTTCCGTTTTGCAGAATTTTTCTGCAGATAGACCACTTTGCCTTTCAGCCCTTCATATTTATTCCACAATCTTAACAATAAACAACAAACTTAAAAAAAAAAAACAAAAAACAATATCCTAAGATCACAGGTGTGTTATTATCTTACAAAGTGACCCTCTTTTGCTTTGATACAGGTGGACAATTTCTTAGGGAACAAATCCACCACTTGACACAGGGTCTCAGAGCTAGTTTTCACTCACAGAGCCAAAACCATACAGCAATGGTGTCGCAATCATTTTCCCAATTTCATCTCCTACTCTGAGTGGCTTCCACACTCACCAGACCTCAACCATCTCAATTACACATTTGTGTTCTTGGGGGTTTGTTTGTTATTTTTTGTTTTGACAAAGCTTGTTGTTTATTGTTAAGATTGTGGAATACATATGCTAGCCTACATGTGTGCCAGGACTTTTGAATCACCCTGTACAAATATGCCTTATTTTGGGGGTTTTTGAGAGGGATTTGGTAAATTAATCAGTTTTGGTGCACTTATGCTCCTAGGCACTTTTTCCACTGTCCACATATTTTAGTGCCAATCTAATTGAAACTGCAACTGATTTTATGCAAGGAAGAAAGTCATTTGTACCCCTATCTCAATAAAAAATCATAAACTGTCAGGTCCATCCAGGTGTGGATAGTTGCCCATTATGCTATTAATATCTAATCTTAAAATGCTTATTCCCTGTATGGAAGCATTTCAGGGAGATTCCTTTTTTTATATGAACTCAGATGGTGTTAATTGTAAAGAGATGTTGTTCAGGCCAATGTACAGGGTGTTTCAGAATTCAGAGTGCATAAGGTGGACTGTGAAATAATGAATGCTTTTGGACATATTGAAATATCATGCTTCATTTGACTTCATTTGGCTTTGAAATGATGAAATTATTTGTTGCTTATCTGGTTCTCAGGTCACTTGTCATGCAGATTTAGTTTCAAAATGGGCACTGTTAAACCCAGTAAATCAACTTCAGAATTATTATAATTATGAGGTCATGTACCCCACACTACTTATAATGTAAGCAACTATTAATTTCAGTGTTTCGTAGTCATATTTAATAAAATAATGCAAGAATAATATGATGACTGTGTTCATTATTCTACAATGTAATTTCTCTCTACACTCCAAATTCCAAGACACCCATTGTATAAGGCTGTTCATGTTGGTTGCAGAGGGCTGGGATGTGGAGAAGGGGATGGTGAGTGAGATGGTGATCGTTGCTCTCTGCAAGTGGGAAGGGGACAAATGGACAGAAGAAACTCTTTCTCACCACATCTTCCCTCTTATTCATACCTCTTCTCACCCATATCTCAAGGCCCGACTTCTCTTACTCTCTGGTAAGTTCCTCTCTTGCTTAATTGTAAGCACTATTGGCAGCTCCTCTTTCACATGGCCACAATGGTTATCCTAGTGCCTCCATTACCCAGTTGTAAGAAAAGGCAAAGCAGTTGTTCCTTCACCTCTTCATTTAGTTACAAATGTGTGGGTATCCTGTCCATTCTCTAGTTGCAAAAAAAATTAGAATAGCTTTTCCCTTACCAAGGTATGTAAAGGAGACCTGATGTATGAAAAGTTTTGGTTGCTCTTGGAGTTTATTGTAACGGTCTAACTGAACATCAAGAGACCGGTTGATTTTAAAGCGGCAGTTCAGTTGCAGTTGAACTATAGTCCTAGGATGGTCTCAGCTTGGTTGAAGTTGCAGTCGACTGGAACTACGACTGGACTTTGAACGGACTGAGATTTTGAAATCATTCTCCAGTTCCTGTTGGGCTGCAGTTGGACTATAGTAAGACTGCAGTTGCTACTCGCTTCAGTTTCTTCTCTGTTCAACTGCAGTCAGATTGTGGTCCAACTATTTGTTGACTCATTTCTAACTTAATCGTACGTTCATCGTACGTGATCAAAACTAACTGAAACGGTTCGACGCCATCCGCAGATCGGTGTCATATTCGTGGTTCAGTTCGTCACTGGGCATCTGTTCCGCTGCATACGTCGCTGATTTAGGACTTAATCGCACGCGGGGTGCTCCATTGCCACGATTTGCGAATGGTAAATGCAAGCAATGTATCATCCTCGTTCCACCGTGACATGGCAAGTAAAACCAAGTAGCGCCAGCTCAAACAGAGGAAGAAGAAATCGAGACATATACAGGGTGTCCAGAAAGTGGCTTCTTATGGCCAACCTTTTATATACTGAATCTAGGGGAACCAACTTGTTAATTTTTGTAGGCTGTTTATCATTAGACCTCGGATTGGTGTCACATCTTCTTTTCCTACTCTCTAGTGTGACTGAGAATTCATTTGCCAAACCCTTGTTTCAAAAATAGGTTCAGACATATGGAGTGTAGCATTCCGAATTGTCAGCCAGGGTAAATGTTCTCCACGATCTCCGGATTTTGACCCCTCGTGAATTTTTTTCTTCTGGGGCAACTTAAAAGGCATTGTTTATAAGGACACGCCCACAGATCTTGAACAACTTGGAAGAGAACATCTCTCATGTCATGTGCCAGAAAAGTGACTGAAGCCTCAAGGATGTTGCCGACAATGCAATTGCCAGAACTCAGAAATGTCTAGAAATCGGCGGTAGACACATTGAGCTAATTTGTGTAGTAAATTCCTAATTTTTATTATTTATTTTTATGATGAAATTTTCTTCTTTTCATTCAAATGAATGAAAAAATCGTAAAACACGAGACGTGGGAAATTAATTATCGGCTGTGCCAAAATGGAAGGGGAAAAGATCTGGCACTAATCCGAGGTCGGTACGTTGTCAGTCTACAAAAGTTTTAAAAAGGCTACTTCAGAGTCTATAATAAAAAAAAGTCGCCCATAGGTAGTCACTTTATGAACACCCTACATATATTTATTAGCTTGCCCTTCCCATCGAGACAGTTGCCTCAGGGTGGGTCTGGTTCGACTTCTCCAGGCGCCATGACAGAAGAGAGGTTCCAGAACCATAGTCACACTCTGGTCAGACTAAAATCTGACTAAGATTGGACTGGGAATCAACACAGACTCTCGCAACTGCGGTCTGACTTGGATTCAAATGGCACATTTCGACTATTCTCGAACGAAAAACCCAAATGTAACTGTAACGGAATTGAAACTGGAACTGAACTGAAACTGAACTGCAACCGAACTGCCCTTTTGAATTCAATCACTGGAAATCATTTGATCGGATCTTGTGATCTATGTGCTGGGAACAGTTGCTGAAGGTTGGATAGTACAAATGAAGTAACTATTTACAGTATGTATGTGGCAATCCAAAAGAAGCTGTCAATATATAATATGGCTATGCCTCGGCGCTTGAAGACCTGAGAGAATTATTAATTACCTTGAGAATCTGTTCTCACCTATTGTGATGGAGTTCATTGTCCATTTTATTTTCCTGTAAAGTTACTTCCCTTTTTGTGACATATTTGACGAACAACCTAAACAGAGATCCCTTAGGTGATGATTCTTCTGTAAGTGTACATCTCAACAGATCTCTGTATACCAAGATTCAGCCTTCCATAATACTCCGTTTCATGAGAACGAAAAATGTTTAAAATTGTACTTGAAAAATAAGTTCTTAGAGGATGTGCCTAAAAAATCGAAAATTTACTGAAAGTCAGGACCTCAAAAACTGCAGGATTATCAAATATCAAATAAATATATTTATGGGAAGATATTGTCTTAGGAAGAAAATTCTCACCAAATAAATTTACACTGAAAAGATAAGCCTCGAGTAAAAAGTTTAATAAAATATTAGTACAGTATCCAGGGAACTAACAATTTCCAGCTTTCTATATTAGCATGCTTCAATACAAGTATAAGGAAGAGATTGCGTCTCTAAATTGCATCTAAAAAAAATGTGCCTTGGTAATACGCCTTTACCCCGTTTGGGACGGGGTATTTGAAAACCTATGGGGACTGCGAACACAAGCCCAAAGGGTTAAAGAAAAACATTTAGTGAAAATTTTATCTCAACTACTATTTGCACATTAAATTTCACCTTTCTATATTTGTCTGCTTCGTTGGGGCAAATAAAAAAAAACTATAATGCTTCGCCCACTCCAAAGATGTGCCCTGAGGAGAAGTTCCTCAAATTTGAGTTTATGTAAAGACCAATATCCTGAGAAAAGCCTGCTTTCCATATGTGTTTTAAAAAAATTTCTGGAAATGTCACCACCAAATAAAATGTCCTATTTCCAGAAATGCTTTTTTTGCCACAACGAAACGGTTGACACTTTCATTTTCTCGCTCCAGCAAGACGGGAAGACTTGGAAAGTTGAAATATGCTGCACAAATAATTCTCGAGTAGTTATTTCAATATATGTCTTAACATTGAGGTAGGTCCCCATTTTCGACAGGGACGCAATTTAAAGAATTTTTAGCTACATCGAAACGAGAAAATATTGAAAGCTAATACTCCGTATACAAGTACTTCTCTCGGTACTGATTTATATATGTCGTATGCAAGTTGACCTTTCCGTGCAAGTTGAACTTGCATAAAATATACCGTGCAACTTGAACCCGTCCAATTTTCCTATGCATGTTAACTTGCATGCATTCTTTATTATGCACGTTAACCCACACGATGGACTTTTGTGCAAGTTCAGGAGGGATATCTAGACCCCTAATGATATACAATTAGACAGTTTTTTTTTATTATCGAGAATAAGACTTACATGTAGTGCGTCTGGCCTTGGAAAAACGATACGGGAGGTCCCTTCATCCTTTCGCTTTCACTGACAGCCTTATTCTCTCACCTTGTTCAGTGCGATACAAGTGAGAGTGAACGTTCTCGTTCTTCAAAAGCTCTAGTGGTTTTCGTCTGATTAATCCTCCTTCAAATCCGTGATAATTGGCACGAAATTCAATGATTATCTGTTGGAGCTCCAAGAGAAGATCAACTCTCCAACAACACGGTGTTCCCGGGTGGGGGGGAGGGGGCCAAACCCCACCTAAGCGATATCAGGGGGGAAAATGATTATTTCCAAGGGGACGCCAGACTCAGTGACAGGGGCACCAGGGGGGCAGCTACTAACCCCCCCCTCCCCGGGCTCCTGCCCCCATTAAAATACGCCACTGCGAACGATGCATCTAAAAAAAATAGTGCAAGTGCGTAGCCAATAATGCCCAGTGCAACTCTCAATGCCACGCATCATGGACAATTCCAACAAATGAATCAAAAAGGTGTGCTTAACGGAAAGGCTTGAATGCAGACATCGACAAAGTCGTTGCAGATTCTTTAATCATGGACAATTTGACATCATGAAGCAGTTACTCCATTTATTCATTAGGATGGTCAAACTAATTCATATCATGGTGTTTGGCACGCTGGCTCAAAAATAAAGTAAGTGCTGGTGGCCGAAGGCATACGATCATTATTCTGGCCGAGATGAAGTGCTTCTCTGAACTTGCACGAAAATGTGCAATCCGGGTTAACATGAACAAGGGTTTGCCCATGCAAGTTCAACCTCCACGCAGTGGTGGACTATTCAAGTTAACCCACGACGATTTGGCCGGGCAAGTTCAACTTGCACGATGAAATTCCCTGTTGAATTATGTGCCATACGGGGACGTAACCGTGATTTTTATTGAAACTATTACTCTGATGATGTCTTGTGTGTCCAACTTCAGATCTCTTCATACACTCCCATGTCAGAGCGTAAAGTAATTCTTGAAATATTAATACTTTCCTCCCATAAACCGCCCCCAGGGTACATATTTCAATAGCTGGATTTTTTTATCTACTCAGAAATCTAACCGGTACTTCTGCTCAAAGTTTCAACTTTCTATCGTTCTTTGTTTCGTTGAATCAAAAAAGATTCTGAAAAATGCGCCTCTTGAAAAAAAAAGTACACTGAGGGGTTGTAATAAAAAAATAATATTTTTTTTTACTGAAATTGGTACACGGAGAACTACATGCCTACCAAGTTTCAGTTTATACGTTTGCCCTTTACCTTGATGCAAAATTATCTTCGAAAAGCCAACCCACGCAAAAGCTGTGCCTTGAGGGGATAAACCACCAAAGTTGAAATTTTCCTGAACTCAACATCACGTCCGTTATGCGTGTGCCAGGTTTCACCCTTCTATTTCTGCCCAATTCGCTAAGGCAAAAGAAATTATTTGAAAACGTCACCCCCAAAAAATATGCCCCAAGGGGATGTATTGGAAACTTGACATTTTTCATGAACTCAGTGTCTCAGTAGTCACATTCATGCCAAGTCTTAGCTTTCCATGCCTCTCCGTTTGACTGTAGCAAAACCTATAATGACTGAAAGGTCATATTAGTTTCGGAGTTATGAGTTGAGCAATCACTTGCATATGACTTTCAAAACATCGACTTATCCCGTTTTCCTGTGCGTACTGTATTAATATAGAGGGCCTAACATTTCGGTCATTGCATATACGAGGGTGATCGGAAATAAACTTTACAACCAGCGTCTATAGTGTTTGTATTTATTGCAACCGAACGATGCAGGTGCTGCATAAAGTACTCACGGGGGTCTACTTTTCCACATAATCCTATTGACGGTGAGGCATTTGTCCCACCGAGGTGTACGATTTTCAATGGCGGCAGCGTATAATTCCATGTCTTGTGCAGACGGTCATTTTTGCACCTCTTTCACCACCTCAACATCCGACCGAAAATTACGGCCACCGAGATGCTTTTTCATGAACGGAAACAAGATGGAAATCGCTCGGTTGAAGATCAGAGCTGTAGGGTGGGCGCTGAAGGACCAACCCCCCCATATTCAGCAGCAGCCACGCCACGTAGGGACGAGCGCTACCGTAGAACAGAAAACCCCGTTCTCAGACAACCTGTCCATCTTCGCAGGATTGCTTCAAGCTGGTGTTGCAGAGTTGCATAGTACCCATCATCCCAATCAATCAGTCAATACGAATTGCGTTTTTTTTTTGTTGACGAATCGTAAGGCCTGCCGCAGCTCTCCTTGTTCTTGTCGACTGTCGTCACTCGTTCACCAGGGCAATGCCGGTTTTTTGTTTCAGCTGGAAAACCGGCTTCGATGTGGCTTGTGAGAGCTAGTACCTGGTCGCAGCAACTTCTGTGGGGGCGGAAACCAACCTGTTCTTTCGGCAGAGTTGCCTCGATGGTCGATGTAAGGCGGGCTAGTGGAGCCCTCTCCTTCAGCTTGCTCGTGGTAGAGAGAAGCGATATTGGGCGGTAGCTGGCGGGCGTGTCCGGTGGTTTTCCGGGCTTTAGTATGGCGATGACCTTTGCCTCTCGCCAGCTTTTTGGAATTTTTCCTGACGAGTGGATGGCAGTAAATAACCTCGCTATCCATTGTCGGCCTTTCTGTCCCAGATTCTTGAGAAATTCGGGGGAAAATACCGTCTGTCCCAGCAGCTTTTTTATTTTTAGTGGCCGCTAAGGCCTTGTCAATTTCTTCCAGTGTGCAGGGGGAAGAAAGCGGTGAGGTTGCTGGGCATTTGAGGAGGTTGAGAGCGAGCGTCTTTTTTACCTCCTTGTTTGCTTCTTTGTCGGCCGGCATATTTGTGTCGTGGAGAAGTTCAGCAGCGACAGCATTCGCTGTGACTTTGGACTGGCGGTTTTGAGTCGGGACAGCGGCTCCGAGTTGTCGGAGGAGGGCCCATGCCTTGCGGCTGGAGTGAGTGAAGTCAAGAGACTCCACTGTTTCACTCCATCTCTTGAGTCGCTCAGAGTTCAGTGACTCAATGAGCGCTGTCGCCTTGTCCGGGTCACAGGTCAGGTTATACTCCCTCAGGTGCTGTTCTGTCTCAGCAGACCAACAAGGAGTGTATGCTTTGCGGAAGTCTCGTGGAATGTTTTTTGCAGCTGCAGAGATGAGAATTCGAGCGAAGAGCTCGAAATTCTCTGGGATTGGTTCACGCGCTGGATACGGTTTTCGATTTCCGGCGTGAAAGCGGCCCAGTCCGCCTTGCGGAAATCCCAACGCGGCTTTGGCACCGATTCTATGACCGGAATCTCGATGCCGATTTGCACGATCACTGAGCGGTGCTGGCTTCTTGGGAAGTGAGGCAGGATGGTTCTCGAAGCCGTCAATGGAGTTCCTAGCCTGTCTTTCGACAAGAAGCAAAGGTCTGGGTTGTGGTCAATTGACCATCTCGCAGATCGGAATGTGCCCGGTTGTTTTGGGTCAAAGAGCAGGTGGACATCTTCGAGGGATGACCTATCTGTGAGCTGTTCGCCCGCTGCGTCGTTTGTGGCGTACCCCCAGTCTGTGTGGTTGTTGTTGAAGTCACCGATATAAACGGCTGGGTGAAACACTGGTGGAAGCGCAGGGGTCGGCCATCCCAAGTTGGGTGGTCGATCTCTCTTCTGCTTACAACACCGTATGGAAGGATGGTCTTCTCCTTAAAGCATCTACAGTCATCAGATGCCGCAGCACGATTCGCCTCATAGCAGCCATGTTAAGCGACCGAAGATACCGCGTCCACCTAAATGGACAAGTTAACAGACCCCTTATTCTCAATAACGGACTGCCACAAGGTTCTGTCCTTGCTCAGTCGCTCTTTAACCTCTACACGAGCGATCTACCGCAAACAACCTCCAGAAAGTTTGTCTACACCGACGACATTGCGCTCGCGTCGCAGGGTGCAGCACTCTCCGCCATCGGCGACACCCTCACCGCTGACCTGGACACTTTAGCGAAGTACTTCCAAAGATGGAGACTACGCCCAAACCCGACTAAAACATCAGTCACCGCATTCCACCGCGCCGCTAAAGAGACTCTTCCTGTCTCCTTTCTGCGGCCATCCAGTAAATAATGAGGCCAAGCCGAAATATCTAGGCGTTACCCTGGACCACAGCCTCACCTTCAGACCCCACCTCGAAAGGACACGCGAAAAAGTGACGGCTAGGGTCAGTGTCGTGCGCAAACTGGCGGGAACCTCGTGGGGTGCCGGGACGCGCACACACGAACGGCGTCACTAGCACTGGTTTACTCGCCTCCAGAATACTGTTCTGTTTGATCGAGCAGTGCACACACCAAGGGCTTGGACGCCCAACTCAACGCATCGATGCGTCTGATTTCGGGGACTCTAAAATCCACCCCTGTTCTTACCGATGGTTGTGAGAGGGTATAAGGTTGAGGGTTGTAGGCGTCTCTGCGCGTCTGTAGACGCATCTTTAGCCGAATAAAAGCCAACCCTGATCTTCCAATTAATGAGTACCTAAAAAATCCACTGAGGACCCGGCTAAAATCCCGGAACCCGCCCTGGGTCAGAGCTGTTGCTCTCGACGCGTCCTCCTTTGATCTGGAGGAACAATGGAAAGCCATGTGGGTCAAACCCATCGTCCCCAACAAAAGGCTCGTTTCTGATCCCACCACAGAAGTTGCTGGCTTCGACCTGCCAAGAAAGCATTGGACCATGCTAAACCGCATCCGCACCTCGCACGTCCGTTGCGCCCACCTCTTGCACCGGTGGAAAATCAAGACCACCCCTAGATGTGACTGCGGTTTCGAAGACCAAACCATCCAGCACATTATCCATCAGTGCCCACTCCGATCGTTCGCAGGAACCTTGGAAGATATCCATGAGCTTACCCCAACAGCCTCCAATTGGATCTCCAACCTTGACATGAGCTTATAAATGTTGCTGATTAATCCCCCGCCATACGCAAGAAGAAGAAGACTCGTTCACCCACAAAGTGTCTGCACCATGCGGCTACCAGTTGTCCGGTTGACATACCACCCCCATATACCTCCGACAGCACGCGACGAATTTCCACAGTGGAGGTGTGCTGGGCCGACAAGAAATGGATGGTACCTCGAATTTCAACGCGGGACCAATTTTCAAAGCGCATCGCCGTTTCACGACTGCACGGTATTCACCTGACTAGCGGTACAAGCGACGCCTTGCGCATTTTTGCCAAGTGCGACACCCCTAATATCGTTAATCACAAGCCTACGCTACCCACTTCGTGGTTCTTCTGTAACAGACTTTGTAAACATTTTTTCCGATCAACCCTCATACTTTCCAATAGTACTATTTCAAAGGATCTCCCAAGCGAATTATTCAGTATGTTAGGGGATATACTGTAAAGGGCCATGTCATCCCAATTGCCATATTTCCCCAAGTTACCCGAAGCCATTTCCTGAAGTGTTCCCCAAACTACGTAATGAAAACTGGAAATCAGGGCCGTTCAGCGGGCTTTTTCAGGTTCTATCAAATCTGACATGTGCGGATGCATGGACTGAGACAGCTGCCTGAGACCTAGTAAATGCACAACATATTGCTGGAAAACGAATCAGTTGCTAAGGAAGACGCCAGTCTTCAGAGTGCCTGAATTTTGACTCCAGAATAAGTCTGATTATGATCATGCATCTTAGGGAACACTTCAGGAAAAAATTTTACCGGAACACAATCTTCCAGAATCCATGGGATTCATAACCAAAGATCACCCAATGCTGGGATGCTGTTCCTCAGGAATTTTTCATTATTGGGCTAGTGACGCTTGCAGTCACTTTTGCCAGTTATTTGCTTGAAACTGTGAAAGCCATACTGAAGTTTTTTCCATGGACTTTGACAAAGATTTGGTGCCTTCAAATTTATTGTCCATCATAATGTACTACCGCTCTCCTCCCGTATCTCTTTGAAACTTCATGCTTAGTCTTTCCTTTTTGCCTCATCTGCAGTTACTTTTCTTGGGGAACGTGTCTAACACTGGGTATGTTTGGGTGAAGCGAAGACTTTCACGTTCTACCTACTCATGTTGAGAGTTTATTGATAATGAAGTAGACGAATAGAGGAAAATATGTGTCAATCGCATTTTTCATCTATCAATCAATTGGTGGGTTACACCGCTGTCAATTGATTTGATCGATAGTTTCAATTATAAGCCATAAATTTAGCTTGACGGCTCAGATTTTCAAAATTAGACTTGATGCCTGGTTTTGAATGGGTATGCTTTGTCACGCTTGTAACTGCCTGGAATTTAAATAGCAGTGAATTCATTCCAGCTCATCTCGTGAAGAATATGGAGCAAAAGGAGCTGGTCAAGGTGTCACCTGCAGCAAGAAATGTCTTCAAGGAAGTGCTTCAGGTTCTGCAAAAGGGTCAGAATCTTCAGTCTGAATTCCTTGTTTTGTTTCTTAATTCAACTGTTCCTAAATCAACCAATTGAGACTGATGCTGCTTCAGGGGGATTAGGTGTTTATACATCTCCTTTCATTCGGCAACTGCTTCCAAAATCGACGGAGGACAGCATCAGAGGAAGAAACCAGTAGCGGGCCTTGTTTAGTTGAAGAGGACTTTTTGTTATAATTTCATTGGATAATATATCACCACATTCTGAATCTCACGTGACACAATTAATCTGTATTTTCTCCAGAAGAACCAGGAATGAAAATAAACTTTCGGTTATGTTTTGATATGCACATTAGAAGTTTGCATCCTGAATTCCTTGGTTCATAGCATCACTCACTAGCGTAAATATACTGGCAACAACAGCAAAAAATGAAAATCGGCATCGAGCGATGCGTTAGGCCCCCCCGCCCCCCCCCACCCCCCCCCCCCCCCCCCGCCCCCCCCCCCCCCCCCCNGCCCCCCCCCCCCCCCCCCCCCTATAATAGGTGATTGTAAAGTTCGCTGATTGATGTGTTCCCCTCTTGCGCGAAAATGATGCATTGCAACTGGGTAGAAAGTTTTGGATTGTGACTAGTATATAATGAGGAGAACCTTACATACGAGAAACTTATTCCTTTTAGGAAAGCGATGCCGTCGAAATATCTTTTATTCGGTAAAACAAAATAGGTGCTCAATATAACGAGGGCTGTTCGTTTGAAAGGCAAAGTGGTCTCTCTTAAAAAAATATTATTTCCTTTAGCTTCACGCAGAAAGTGAATATTCCAGTGACTGTCATGTCAAAAGTGAGGAAAATGGTATGTATCAATAGATCAGTTCATCGTGTACAAATTCCAAAAAGTATCATTTTCTTTGAAAGGAACAAGGGCACTATGAGCACTAAACCGATTATACTTTTTTCGGAATTTTTTGCAGATGTACATTTCACCCCTTCATTTAATCACTAGACCAGGGCACTAGTTCTGCAATGAGTCGTGCTGTTGCAGTAGTGCTACATTGAATAAAGGCATACGATCTCGACATCGGTGTCTGCATCCTGTTCAATAAATGCTACTGTGCTTTATTGCGTCAGACCCAAACTTGAGAATGCATGTTTTTGTTCTTCGTGCGGTGGGTATTACCTTGGAAATTGAACAGTGTCGTGTGATTCAATATTGCGTGAGACGCTGATTGTCTTCGACTGACACTCCGGCCAAAATGGTTCTCTTGTATGGAGATGATTGTCCAGCGAAGGCCAGTGTTTAGGTGGCATAAGCGCTTTTGGGAGGGACGCCAGTCGGTCGCAGATGACCCACGCTTCGGCCTGTCAACATCTACCTCACCAGAGCTTTTTGATTGCATTGACGAATGCTTCGATGCATTGACCTCATTTCATTAATGGATAGGCGACGATCCTCCCGAAGCAATTTTTGTGTCTTATGGTACCGACGTGCCGTCTTTCGTTCTGTAACCCATCGCCCTTCTTACGCCCTTGTTTTCGTTTCTGCAGGAGAGGGTGAGATCTCTGTGGATTTGATTCAAGCCGTGATTGCCTTGCGGGAATGGGAGGATTTTGCCAGGATCCTCTCGGAGTGGGCCAGTCAAGACTCCATCCAGAAAGAGGGGAAAGTCTTCCTCACTTCCTGATCCCTTCTTTTCATCCTTCTCTTTCTTTACCTTTTCCTATTTCGTCCCTGGATATGAGTCACCCGGTTGTTTTTTATTATTACCGAATGGATCCCTACTGGATGAATAAATAAATACAAATCGGGATAAGTTGCCGTATTTGCTTTGTCATTATCCCTCTTGCTGTTTTACATGTCGGGTCACTCCTTCTCAAGACCATTTTGAAGGGTGCAAAAATCTAAAATAAAATTTTAGAGAATAAAATATAAACTTGAAGATCAAAGAGAATAATTCAAGTTCAAAGAAAGAAAAAACGCTACATTACAAAGTATTCAGCCGGAAATATACAGGGTGGCCCAAAAAACCGCACCAATTTTGATCGGCAGTAACTTTTGAACAAATGAACCTTTGTTTGTGTTCGAAACGGGCATTGAAAAGTCTATTAATCTTTCCATCGCCATATCATTTATCAAATTTCCTTCAACAAAACTGGAGCAATCGCAATTTAAGTACAAGCACCCAAAAAAGTGAATGAACAAGGCTGGCTTCTTGTTAACCCTCTCTGGATGCAGCATCCTTCGGCATCCTACGGCGATTTTCCGTTGTATGCTTACAACTGCCTTATCTTTCAAATTTCATCTTATAAAAGTGCATTTCAAAAAGTTCATTCCAGTCATTTTCATAGTTTCTATTCAAACGATTATTGATTCAAAACCGGTTTTGCAAGCGTGCCGCCGTTGTCTCGCTGGTCACATCAATTGCTCTCAAACTGAGTTACAGCAGTCAGACATGTTCTTCGGTGTAATGTAGCGTTTTTTCTTTCTTTGAACTTGAATTATTCTCTTTGATCTTCAAGTTTATATTTTATTCTCTAAAATTTTATTTTAGATTTTTGCACCCTTCAAAATGGTCTTGAGCAGGAGTGACAAGTGTTTGATAACCGCGCTGCGTCAGGAAAAGAATTGCTCATTGAATCAAATCCTCGCGGAGTTTCCAGATCGCCAATGGAAGAAAATAACGGTTGCGGATTTTTTGAAAAAACTTTAAGATTATGGAAGTGGGAAACGTCTTCCAGGCAGTGGGCGTCCAAAAACTGCTCGTACACAGAAAAACGTTGAGACTGTCGGTTCACTGATTTGCAGCCAAGAAGGCAAACTAGGCACCAGTCTCAGTGTGCGGCGTATTTCAAAAGAAACAGGCATTCCGCGGTCTTCAGTTCAGCGCATGGCAAAGAAGGACTTGAACTTAAAAACTTTCAAGCGAGTGACTGTACTGAAGTTGACGCCTGAAACTAAGCAGAAGCGTCTTGACCGAAGCGAAAAGCTCCTGCTCCGTTTTCGAACCAATTCTGCTGTCAGCAAAATTTGGTTTTCGGATGAAAAAAAGTTTACCTTGGAGAGCCCACGCAACACTCAAAATGACCGGGTGTTCGCAAATGTGCAACAAAAAAAGACCCCGAGCCTACGCGACTCTTAAGGGAAAGGTCCCACTTTTCCGATTCGGTTATGGTGTCAGTGGCAGTGTGTGCCGAAGGAAAAACTGAAATACTTTTCATCGAACGTGGGGTGAAAATTACCTCAAAGCTACGGCGACAAGGTTTTGGCCCAAATGCTTCCAGAGATTGAGGACAAAATGTTGGATTACAACTTCATGCAAGATGGTGCCCCAGCTCATCAGGCTCAGAAGACACTTGCATACCTGAGGTCCAACTGTGCAGACTTCATTGAGCCCAACCTTTGGCCCCCAAACAGCCCAGACCTGAACCTTGTGGACTACTTCGTCTGGAGCGCCTTGGAGGAAAAAGTCTACCGCGGACATCAAATCCGCACCATCGCTCAATTAAAAAGAACGGATTGTGAATTGCTAGGAAGAACTGCCTCAAGATTCAATTTGGGCAACAATAAAGAAGTGGAGATCAAGGCTCAAAGCGGTTGTGTTTCGTGAAGGCAATCATATTGAGCCCTATGTCAGTCGTTAACGCGTACAACACCATTGTGAAAGGTAAGAAAAGCTTAAGTTCATGTTCTTTTTTTGGGTGCTTGTACTTAAAATGCAATTGCTCTGGCCCTTTTGAAGGAAATTTGATAAATGATATGGCGATGGAAAGAGGATTAATAAACCTTTCATTTTCCGTTTCAAACACGAAAAACAAGTCATTTGTTCAAAAGTTATTATCGATCAAAATTGGTGCGTTTTTTTGGGCCACCCTGTATGTGTATTTATTGGCCCAGTAAAATTTTATCCATAAATGTTCCTGTCAGATCACACACTTGCCACAGGATTTCGACTTGGAGAATGTTTCAAATATAATTATTAGCAATGGCGTCCATTTCTTTAAAAAGAATGCCGTAAGAGATTTTTGTCGTTCAGCTGAATTTAATTTAGCTCCATCACTTAGGTTCCAGGTTTCCCAAAGTTGTACTTGTGTACAAGCCAGCGGCGTAGCGTCGGGGGGGGGTTACGCGTTCCCCCTTGCCCCCCGACTTTTCAAGAAAAGAAGCTAAAAAAAGGAAAACACCTAGAAATGCAAGATAACAGTATCCCAAAGTTCCCGTGCCTCCCCCCCCCCCACTTTTTCCACCCTCGCTACGCTTATAGTACAAGCTAATCGCAACTAAATCGCACAATGACATGAAACACAAGCGCTATTGTCCAAGCACATTATAGTATTAAAGAATCGTAGTCTTCGTGCGCCTTATCCTATATCTGTCGCAGGCAAAGCATGCAAGAAATAAAGTACAAAAACAGGCGAAAGATTTCTTCGATTGTCCATATCTTCAAAGACAGCGGGAATAAAATTTTAAATCGGAAAAAGCGGGAAGGAGGTGATCGTTCATTAGATATCATGAAGCCCTTAGTGGGAGGATGTAGCACAATGCGTCAAGGCTGCGATGTGATCAATGGTTTTATAAGTTTTGTAGCCTTGCTGAAGTGCTGGCGCGCAGTTAAGCAGCGGTTGGTACAGGAGAATTATGTTGGAAGTGAATTGCTGTGAAGAGCCAAGAGCTCGGCAATGGGTTATCCGTTTCTTTCGAAAGTGGCGATTAACCTGAATGAGGCATTTCAATTACCTTATCGAACCTAGAGCTCCAGGCTTCGATACTGCCTGTTGCATTTTAAAAATGTATTCTATAATTTCCAAACCAGACCGAAATCGTAATGATTGGTACTCTCAGCCCTAGTAGCACATAACATTGAAACAACACGGATTCAATGTTGACTCAACATCCGGATGTTGTATCAACATTGAATCAATGTTGATTCAATGTTATGTGCTACTAGGGAGGTCTCTCTCCAATTTGAAGTCGGAGGTTCAAATTTCGACAAATTTTCCTACAGGACTTGCAGGACATGTCCTGCATGAATTCGTCCAAGGACTTGCTGGAACATTGACATCTAATGAAGACGAAAGAGACTAGATCACCCATGATGACCTCAAAGTGTTTTCTTCATTGAGCTAAGATGTACAGGGTCTCTGTTAGGTAACTCCCTATTATAAATTGGTTTTATCGGTTACAGATTGAGTTGAGGAAAAAAATATATTAAATAAGAGAAGTGGATACCTTGCTTTACGCACTTCAAGAAACTAAGCTGTAATTACGTGAGATATGGAAATTGTTTTGCTCGTTCAGAGGTGATGGCGACAACGGCGCGGAAGACATGCTAATCTCGAAGCTAAAATCATCAAAAGTAACAAAAGTAAGAGCAAGAAAAAAGTTAATGACAACAGGGTCGGTAGTCAATCTTTTAAAAAGGAGGTGGACTATTGACATTATTCGCTGAAGAGAACATTATTGCTGTTCAAGAAATGTTCTCTCGAAACCTCGGCAAATCTGTGAGGCAAACTCCACGTAAGAGTACCTTCAGTCGCCACGCAGTTCATACCATTCTTAAAAGTGATCTTATGTTGAACCCTGAAACCAAGTTGTAAAGTGTACGGGATTGATACTGAAATGGCATTGAATGCTTTGTAATATGAAATAACCACTTTCTTAATGCAAATGTGACAGACCTCATTCATGATCCAAAATAAGGAGTTACTTAGCAGACACCCTGTATAACTGGAGACTGTGCGTAACGAGATGAGCTTGCTGCATTTAAAAGCCGTCATGGTTGACATCACGACGACTTTTCCCTGTTCACTCCAATGGACTTTTTTCGCTACTTTCCTACCCAGTTTCCTTCCTGATGTGAAAACGACGGAAGGCAACCATGTCACCGGAGGCATAATTATTATTTGGAGAATTTCATCGGTTCGGTTGACCCACATTGGGTCAACCGAACGTGCACGTATTCAGGGCCGGCCAATGGCATGAGCCAGATGTGCTACGGCACAGGGCGCAAATTCACCATGGACACCAAAACGTGGCAGAATGAATGAAGCAATAATGGATGCCA